GTTATGGTTCAATATTTATGTCCCATATTTAATATGCGATTTCAGTATCTTGAATTACTATTATTATTTCTAATTTCTTGTATATATTCTAGGGGCACGTGGTAGCGTAGTTGGTTGAGGCACTATGCTACAAGCCAGAAGGTCGCAGGTTTAAGTCCCAATGAGGTCATTGGATTTTTTTCAGTTGACCTAATCCTTCCAGCCGCACTATGGCCCTGGGGTCGATTCAGCCTCTAATAGAAATGAGTACCAGGAATTAACTAAATAATTTTCCTGGGGAGTAAAGCGCGGCCAGCGCGTAAGGCTGACAACCTTACCACCATCTTTGAGCTGATTATCTAGATAATGTGGGACCCTCAACGTCTCACAACCCTATGGGATTTCATGGCCTGTTACAGGAATGGCTTTACTTTTTACTTTGTATATATTCTTTGTATCTGGTGTGGAATGCTGTGCCTGTTTGTTCTATGTATTTTAGTGGGCTGTGTAAGTATTTCATTTGGTCGATGCCACCTTGGAAAATTAACCACACATATACAAGAGCAGCAAGAATAACTTGCAAATGAATGGCACATAACCCAGTATTCAGAGTACTGCAAAAATGAACACCAGTCAGCAGCACATACGCCCTACATCCTATATAAAAACAGAACCAACTATGTAGAAACATTCAGAACAGCTACACACAGCCCAAAAGAATAAAGCCATTGCAGAGATAGAGCAACAGAATATACATAAAATATATATCTTATAAATAGAACATTAATATAACCCATTACATATTACTGATACACCAGACATGTGCATACAAATTAAGTAAGAATGGAATGATTATTTAAAATAACCTAAAATAAAATATTTTAAGAGCATTCTACATCAAAATGAAAAGAAGAACAGCATGATAATGGAGCAGGAGGTTCCTCTAATCCAACATCTTATACACTTAATGATGGCCATTTAGACTGAAACATGTCATGTTATATAATGAGAAGAGACAGATGTTGAAGTGTGAATGTTAATACATTGATGAAATTGCACAAAGATGGCAAGGAGTGAGAACACAAAATTAGAATGTGCAGTGCAATGGGATGCTGCAGTATAATATTGTGACATGATGCCTGAAAGCCAGAAGAGTGAAGTCAGCAAAGATGGCCAGAGCTAGGTAATGGGTAGTTAAACATGTACCCGAGTGTTACACTCTCAGGGAATACACATCCATTGCTGGGCAACAGATTGCCCAGCATTGAGTCAGTCATACTGAGTAGTAGAAGACTAGAGGCAAGAGACCAGTCCTAGAACAGTTATCAAGAAGGAGTTCCATGTGTGAACTGTTAAAATCAACTGTTATTGTAATAGAGACATCACCGAATCTAGAACCTACAATTATTAGTCATGCAACACCTTATATGTGACAAGCAAATTTATCACCTGACAAACTTTGTTTTCTATTATAGTTTCTACTTTTAGAAGGTGACTTCTAGGTTTATAGGACATTTGTGCAGGCCTGTCTATGAGATATGTGCCATCAGAATTGTTCTCTAAGCTCTACGGTCATCTTGTCATTTGGCTGATACTCTCTGAATATTCAGTGCATGACATATGTCTAGAAAGAAGATGGGTGTTCTGTGTAAATTAATGTCATGTCACACTGAGAATGCAATAGATGATTCTTGTTTGCTAGTAATGTAGTAATGAAATATCAGTAAGTGAGATATGTCTATGATGATTCCAGCTGCTCAGAACCATTGCATTTGAGTGGAATGAGTTTCCTGGGTCTCAGAAATTCCATCAACTCTTCATTCCTTTGTGATGGTATCGTCAGATCACCATCAGAAAACATCCAACGCCACTCAGCAGGGTTGTATCCAGTATTTCAAGCAGTCAGCATTATACTCCTTATCAGCATTGCAGGTCTGGCTGTCCTGTACTATTTACAACTCACTAAAAATGTGACACATGGCACTCAAACACAAGTCATTTCTGACATACCATATATGAGGGTAAGAACAGAGGTATGTCGTGAGTTTGCATCTTAGTCTTCTATTGTGATTGTTAAAGGAATACTGAAAGAGTCAGAATGGTATATATTAAACCCTTCCAGTTTGGTGTCATTTTTTATTCTGCTGGGTCCACTTTAATGGAACCTCGACAGTCAAGTGTACTAAGTTTTGCTCTTATTGTGGGGCCCTCTCTGTCTGCAAGGTCTTGTATGAAATGTTTATATCTTTATGAGAAAGTGGTATTTTTTAATTTATATCTCCATGTCATTGGGTCTGGGGATAAAGCAGCCAGGGCCAAAGTCAAGAATATATGGATCCATACATCCACTCCCCTATATGTCTTCAGGCTATAGTGCTCAAGTAGTTAAGCACAGGGACAACTTTACCTTTTACACTGTGTCAATACAACTTACTTTGAAACGAAGCAATTGTGAGTCAGAATTTGCAAAAAAAAACAATTCTTAAAAAACTAATATGGACTAGACTGATACAACACACCAGAAGAGGGTAAATTTGCAAGGGTATTATTGGAGAATGACCATGGCATATTGATATTATACCAAGCAGGTCTACTCAGCACAAATATACCTGACTTTGATTTTTATTGGCTTCCTCAAATGCAGAAATATTAAGACTACAGTCTTCTGGAATGTGACCACATGTAGCTTGGTAGAAGGGTACCAATTTTTTGTCAAAACTTGCTGTCTCCATTTTATATCCTGAAAATGGAAGCAGCAAGTTCCTCCAAAAAGTTGGTACCTGTCTACCAAACACATCTGAGAAGACCATAATCATAGCATACACTGCCATCTAGTCACATATAGGCCATGACATTTCTCTCTGTCATTCAGTTGACTTCTTTTTTACAATAAATTCTCTCTTCAGCTGAAGACATTTTGCTAAATAACTTACGAACTAACAATACTTATTTTTGATATGACTAGTAGTGAATTCACCACACACAATCACCTTCATGTTATTTATATATAGTGTGGCAGTCAGTGATCAGTAGTGAACCTTGGAGCCCCTTGAATATTAAAACTCATGCTAACCATTAGACCATTAGACTAACTGCATAATTGCAGTGTTATAAATCAACCATGTTTACAGAATCACTTTTATTTCATGTATGCAATATAGAAAAATTATAATTGTGAAAAATATTTGTCATCAGACACATCCTTGAATTCTGTCTGATGAGTATGAACCGTACACCTTACTATGTATGGAAGTTCAAACATATTATGGCAGTATTCTCAGAGAGCATGTATCTCTTCAGATTACAATTTAGTAATTACAGAGAACATACACCTAAATAAAACTGCATATCTGCATATCTGTATCATTAGGAAAATAACAGTGTATACACTAGTGGCCCAAATGTGAATTGTTGATTTTGTTGAAACTGGCTTTACTGGTGAGACAGATTTAATCATAGTCATGTAGTCGGTAACCAACAATGGTGTACCAAGCAACAGTCAATTTTGTTTCCAAGGTAACATATTCAGGGTCAACTCTGTGTGAGAAAGTATGTGCAGTCACTTTGCTCCAATTTAATTTGCTGACAAATATGAGAAAGTTTATGCAGTGTATTTTAAAGTGGTTCATAATATTATCTTCTAATACATAATGCCCCATTGTAGACACCATTAACAACTAGGTTCAATGACCAAAAGTAGAGACGTATATATACCAATGGAGGACAAATATTTTCTAAACATGTTTTTTTTTATGTAAGATTTGAGGCTTTCACGGCGGTGACTATGAGGAAAGCAGTCTTCTGGGATTTGGCACCATGTATATGTGGTGTTAACCGACGTTTCGGAGGAACGTATCGCCTCCATCTTCAGGGTAGAAGGAAAAAAATATAAGAAATCCGCAAGCGAAGAGACCGTGAGAACCGGTAAAAGCAGACCAGTCTGCTTTTACCAGTCTGCCACTGCTCTCTGCATTCCAAGCCATTCAACTGCTCTGAAGATGGAGGCGATAAGTTTATCCGAAATGTTGGCCAAAATGAAGAATACATGGCACCTAAACCCAGAAGACGACTTTCTTTATATGATATTGTTAATTATTATTTGTAGTTATAAATTATTAAATCCCTATATAAAACATTTTAGTAATGGTGAATGAAAGTTCTAAAATTATGCAATTTCAGGTTACCATAGGGATGAATTGTCGAGCGTTAACACACACAAACATAAGTTATGTACTAGATCCAAAACAAATGAACAGTCTTTTGTTTGACTTCTTCATGTGGTTCCTCTGAGTACTGATATTATTTTGATGTAGATACATAAAGTTTAATTTGTATTATTCAACCCGGAATGTGACTTGGTTCATGAAGATGTGGAAGATTTTTTTCTTTTAAAAAATATGTACATTGAAGATGTGCAGTTGGATAAGTTCAGTAAAATGATGTCACGAGCTCTAATCCGAAAACAGCACGATACTCAAAGTATACACTACATAGATCTGTGCAGGTAATACAACAGCAGTATATCTGTATGACTGCTTGAATTCACATATAAATGAAGAGCATAAAACATACCTGAGTAAACACTATTCATGTATACCCTTGATTAATTTCAAGAATTTTCAGTAGCAAAATGATATGATCATTTGTGGTGTATCTGTGGTATATATATATGTCGTGTTTGTGCTTAATTAGTTACTTGGCAGATTTCTTATGTAGTGCATTTCTTCATGTAATCATTATTAAATTTTTGATTAGATCTTATGGTCTGTATACCTTAAAGAGTTTATATGGTTGATTGAAAGCATTTTATACAGAAATTATGTAATGGTACTTGTTGGTTATTTTTTTCCTTGGCACTACAGCCCCAGTGGGCCTAGGCCTACCTCCATGAACTCCGTTCCCTTTGGTTTTTCTAGATCTTACACATACGGTAGGACTCCTTGCGTGAGTGATCAGCAAGTAGCAAGGCCTCTACCTGTAGACAAACACAGAAAAAAGCACACAAACATCCATGCCCTGAGTGGGATTCGAATCCCGGGTTCCGAGCGAGCGAAGACAGTGCATGCCTTAGACCACTCGGCTACCATGACCGGCACTTGCTGGTTATAGTTTTTCATATTTTAGTCTGTATGTTCTTACACAGCAAATGGGAAGATAAAAGATCTGAATTGATTGGTAATAAGCATTCAGTGAATTTTGTCTACTCTTAATCTCTTCATGAATGCAATTTTGATCTGTTTGTGGTGTTCCAAAGTATTCAAACTTTACCAAATTTGCAAAGGATCTATTAGATGTGTTTGTGTTTGGTTTTGTCTGTAGGAGCCTCGACGTCTCACAACATTATCGGCCTTCATGGTCTGTCACAGGAATAGCTTTACCTTAGCTTTTACCTTTGTCTTTGTTCTGCATCATAGTTCACTTTATGCATTACAAAAAAAAACAGTTATGGTTGCATAGCAACCAACACAGAGACACATACAATATGCTTGGGACAGGAAAAAATTATGTCTGTATAAGACTGAAGTATGTAACTGGCAAAAAATAACTTCCTGAAATGAAGAACAGACAAGAAGCCAAACAAATAAAAAGTGCAGATAGTGTGTACATGTTATATTTGTTTGAACATGGTGATGAACCTAGTATCCAGTCAGGGCTACTGTTGAAGGGTAGTGTGAGCGAATTTCATGGCATCGATTTCGGTCTACATACAGTGTCTTTCTCTTGACAATAATTTCTCGTTCTAAGTTAGCCCGAGCTGTCATCAGACTGCAACGTGACTCCTCGGCCTGATGCAGCTGAGCCTTCAGTGCTGACACACTCTCACTTATTGCCTTCACCTCGTCCACCAACCTGAAACAATACACAGATGTATGTGGCTTTATGCATTCCAAACACTTCTGCTCAAAGTTGTGTACTGGAGTGATATGATGTTTTAAGGAGAATTTGTTATGTACATACCCATAGTGTGGGATGTCTCGGCAGCTTTCTTGCTGTGGTCGCAAGAGGCGATTGTCTAGTCGAGTCTGAGCCTTCTTCATGGCAGGATCCAGGTTCCTAATGGCTTGCTTCAAGTTTTCTATCAACATTTCAGTGTCAGTTATGCGTTGTAAAGTCTGTAAAAATGTATGAGTTAGTTGACGTTTAGTGTGTCTTGCATTAAATTTGGTGTTGGAATGAACAGTAAATGTTATCTGGCAAGTTTAATTTTTTTTTTTTGTATCAGTCCAGTGCAACCACTAAAATGCTTGAAGTCCAAATCAAAGTACATTTATCTTGAATTATTGATCTCATTAAGATCTACACATTTGAAACATTTGCAGTATGATGTATGATTAATGAAGAACAAGCTGAAATTTATATTGCCGTTGTATAACAAACAAAAACAAACTCCGTGATTTTGTCCACAAGCAAACTATACTGACTGAGCAACCGCCGCTTGTCGGCGAAGTTATTGCCAACCTCAGCAGATGGACGGTGTCGCGTGGTCAGCGCAACGAATCCCCATGGCCGTTAATTTCGTTTTTTTTTCCGGCGCCGTTATTTCCTTGAAAGAGCTCCTCAATTGTCTTCACGAGGCTGAGTGGACCCTGTTCAAGACCCACTGCTTCTCAGAAAAAATCTGGTAGCGCCAGGAATCGAACCTGGACCTCTGGATCTGTAGCCAGGCACTCTGACCACTAGACTACATTAAGCTGTGCAGAAATAAATAAAGATTAACGCCAGTGAAGTATGCAAACAGCAAACAGTGTCTTTGGAAATGTTTATTCCAAATTAGCATCACGTTTTCTTATATAATCAGTCAAATATCAGCATTTGTATTTGTGCTATTGTTTCTTATGGTGCTGATTCTCAGGTCCAGTAGTTGCTTGTACTACACTCCTGTTTTGAATGTGATTTTATATTCAATTACAGAGCCTTATTTATGTCCTGTGACACTAATTGGCTTCTGAGATTTATATTGCATTGTTAAATTGTGAGACCGCCTCTGTGGTATAGTGGTCAGAGTTCCTGGCTACAGATCCAGATTTCCGGCGCTACCAGATTTTCTGAAGAGTGGGTCTGGAACGGGGTCCACTAAGCCTCGTGAGGATAATTCAGGAGCTTTCAAGGAAATAGCGACTCCGGTCTAGAAAACCGAGATTAACAGCCGTGGGGATCTGTTGCGCTGACCACGTGACACCCTCTACCCACAAAAGTTGGCACTAACTTCACCAACAAGCAGCAGTCGCTCGGTCAGTATAGTTTGCTTGCAGACTACAGGCCATGGATTTCTTTTTTTTCTCTCTCTCTCTCTCTTTTTTTCTTAAGTTGTGAACCAATCAGCTTGATGTGCCATACCTTCAGCAACTCATTCTCCATTCGCTGCCTTGCCTCATCAGTCTCAGCAATTCTCATTGCTAGTGCCATTTCAACACGATCAGCTTGTGTACGTAGGTCACGTGCCATATCAGACATAAAGCTGCTCAGGAAGTGTCGCAACTCAACAGAACGTTTATGTTCTGCTTTCAGAAGATTGAGATTTTCTCTTGTGTATTGCTCCCAACCCTCTGGAGTTGACTGTCTGCAACCATTGAAAAAAAAGCAACTCAGATTCAGATATATTAATTGCTTCTATTTCATTATACATAGACATCGTCATGATTCTTACAAGCTGCTCAATATGTATATATTATTAAAAAATGTTTGTCTGTCTTCCTCAGTTCATAGGGAAAGATGTCCATGCATTCATCTGCCTAATAATATTTCAACTGACTCATGGCTTTTGCATTTTGAATGATCATCATGCAACCTCAGTTTCTATTTCTAATTTTATAACATCAGTAATGCCAAACATGGCAGCTGTGCAAACGTCTGAAGCTGGAGCAATAGGAGAATTCACAAATTTTATATGGTAATATATTTTAAAACATTATAAACCCTTTGTTATTTGTTTGTTTGTTGTTGCTGATAATTTTGTTGTCGCCACCACTGCCATCATCATTGTCATTATTGTTGTTGTAAGAGTGTCATGCAAATTTATGCAGCTCTCCATATTATGGTGATATCAAGTAAACCACTGGAGATGGGCATCTGCTACCTTCTCAAGAAGGGCTCTGTTCCATGACATTAGTGTGCCAGTATGATAACTAGCTAGAAGAAATAATATCCTGCCTAACTGTGTGATCTGTATAGCTGAAATAATGTTTATAAGCTAATAAAATTGAGATCATGATGGTATGAACATGTAGCTTGGATGGGAAGAACAAATTCATATGCAATTTTTGTGGAGTAAAAGGTAAAGTTGTCCCTGTGCTTAACTAATTAAGCATTACACCAGTAGGCATATGGGAGACTGGATGTATAGATCCACATTTTCTTGACTTCGGCACCAGCTGGAGGTGAGTGGTCAGCTTCATGCCCTGGCCGGTTTACACCCAGAGAAAGAGCCCCCAATACCCATTGAATAGGTGGTTGGGTGGACCCCAGAGTCAGTCTGGACGACGTGAAGAGAAAATTCTTGGCCCTCAGCACTCAAACTCCAACCCCTCAGTCGTCCAGCCCGTAGCCAGTTGTTACTATGCTAATATTTTTGTGGCGTACTTATTGAAAAGTAACCCCTTAGGATACATTAAAGGTGATAGGAGAATAATATTAAAATGGATCTCAGCAAAGCAGATTGTGAGGATGTGAACCAGACTGAACTGGCTTAGGATTATGGTTTAACTGTCTTGAGGCATCAGGTTGTTTGTTAGAGAGTTAGTTGATTAATGAGAAGTTGGTTGCCATGTTGGAAGAGTATGAAAATAATGCTCAGTAATCTTTACAGTTGATATGACATCTACAAACTAACATACCCATCTGGGAAGCATGTAGCCCCAGGTTTGAAGAGAAGAGTTTTGCTGGTAATTCGTAGTCCTACATTAATTGCCTCAATTTCGTAAGATTCTTTCTTGTCACTCCAGTCCATTTCAAGGCGTTTCTTGACGGCTTTATTGTGCTTCAGCTGCTCCTCCACCTGTTTCAGCATTTGACCCATCAGGTCTCCTGCCTCTCGTATCAGTGCAGCTTCCTATAACATTGATGCAGCTTGCATTCCTAGGCAACGCTAACTTTTCCAAATTTTGCAGTTTTTCATAACATGTTAGTGTTGATGTTCATTTATTAGAAATACAAATGCAATTGTTGAAAAACTAATCAACAGTACATATACCACACCACAAGAGAGTCATGAACTCAGTTGTTAACAAAGCTAATAATCATTATGTCTGGTACACTGTCTACGCACATACATTATTTTTCTTTGTATTTGTTGAATTATACGCCACATAAACGTGTTTCTGTTAAAAGATGAAGCTCTTAGTGAGATCTACGTTTTATATCACCACTTGTATGAATGATGAAATGTTTTGTGTGTGTGTGTGTGTATATATATATATATAGTTTAATGCAATAGAAGGATAAATGAAACATATCGGAATTAAATTCACCTGTCAGCTTTGAATATAGATCTTCAGCAACAGATGTTACTAAAAAATACTATGTAGTTTCAAATACGAAATATGAGAATGGATCGGCAGCCTGACACTGTATCTCATTATGCATTATTTTATGCAATTCATGCTACCAAACACAAAAACATTTTTTTACACCATATAATGTAACCATTTAATTAAGGACATTGACTCATACCTTAATAAGTTCTTCTTCAGCCTTATCTCTCACGAGATCTGCTTCCAGCCTAGCTGTTCTTCGGTTGATACATTCCCCTGCAATGAATTCTGGCATTCGTAGCACCCCCATTGCTGTCCTAAGACGCTGTCGTTGTAGCTCTAATGTGTTGATCTCATCTGCCATGGCTCTAACTGCATGCTTCAACTCAGTTTTCCGTTGATGCACATCATGCACACGCTGTGACAGCTGTCTCGTGTTATCACTCTGCTTTTTGTCTGTGTCAGCAGCCGTGAAAATTTCACACTGTCGCCCATTAAAATCCACTCTACATGACATATAGAAAGATAGTATTGAACAGAAATGAACATGGAAGTGTAAAGTATAAAAGGCTTTAAGTTAGTACCCATAAAAATGTAAAATCCTGAAAAAATGGTATGGTTGTGAATGCCAGAACAGTTCTTTGGGCATCTGTATACATTTCATGATGCTGAAAGGCTAAGCCTGAAAGAAAAATAGTGAACGATAAAAGTGCTGATTTGCACGTGTGTTTCAGAAAAATAAGCAGATGGTTGAATTCTATTATTAACCACAGAATGCAAGAACATAGTGTAAGAAATTTACCTTCAAAACTGTGAGTCAGAGATAGAAATAGAAGAGAAAATTCTTCATATTTACCCACTTATTACAGGGAAAACAAGAAAGTTGGTGAATTTCTAACACTAATGGAAAAGGCCATCAAAATTCAATGTGAAATAATTTCCTACTTTTCTCCTTCACCCCCCTTCATCCCTTCCTTTATATCTTCCATACCTTTACCTTATTTCAAAATTTCTCAGTTAAAATAAATGATTAAGATATATTTTTATCCTTCAGATGGCACAGTTTCAAACTTATAGCTGTTCCCTGTGTAAGTACATTAAAACTACTGCAGTGTGGGAATGACATAACGTATACACATACAATGTCATAAACCATCTGTTATTATATGTAAGTGGAAAATCTGAAGGGATAAAACCACTCATGAGGCCTGGGCACAGGAGGTAGTATACCCTGCTATTAAAATGGATGTTACAGATACAGGGTGTGAGGAAGTGGACCACATTTGTCTGCCTCATGACAAACTCCAATGGCATAACTCTTATATACCTACATGTTTCATAAAAGGTGGGTAAATTCATGACTAGCTGCGCTTCTCAAACTCTGCTCCACAGGAAAAGTAGATGTATGCAAATACTTTCTTTTAATTTATTCTTCCTTAAGTGCATATTTGTGTGATTATATCTATTTTATTGCATAAGCCTTTAAGTACACATACACTTTGGCATGATGTGTTGCCTTGTCTGCGCCTCTCAGAACATCTGCATTGTGTTTGCGCCATTCTTCCTCACTGTATCGTGTTATTGAGTACTGATCCACCACTGGTCTTGTTCCGGTCAGTCCTGCTAGTGGTCCACAGTCTATGCAACCTGCGGCCCATGGAGCAGTCACACCCATCTTCTGTGACTCGCCTTGAGCTGTCATGACTTTAGAAGAAGGGAACTTGTCCCGCATTTCAGGTAAGTAGCATGGGGCTTCTTTCTGCACATACACATCATGTCATGCCTGGGATAAGTCCTAATGTTCCAACAAGCTGCTTTCTCCACATACCATAACTATAACGTATCTTCATAATAACGAGTTAAATTTAGTAAACACCATCAAATTACAACATAAAATAATATTTATTTACTCCATACCACGCACGTTTCAACCTCAGAAGGTCGTCATCAAGCATATTCTATTAACAGTACTTTTAGTATAATCACTCAAGTTTTTTGCATTATTTTTCTTTCATCCTGTAAACGTATATTATAATTAATCAGAGCAAATATGTACCCACTCCCCCATACACCTTCATGGCATAGTGCTTAATTAGTTAAGCACAGGAACAACTTTACCTTACTTTAAGTATGTACACTAAAGATGATTTCACCATGGCTTCTCTAAAAAAACATAACTTAAAAATTTGAAACACTTCAAATTTTTCAAATACAGACTAGAAACTAAACTTCCTCCTGATTACACTGAAATGTGAAATAAGAGATGAAGACCCTACAAAGTACCAAATTTGTATGTTTTGATTGGTCAAGCCAAATGCATGACTGAGGAGTGTGAAACAATGACTGTCAGAGAAAACCCACAGTTCTCAACAAAAATCTGCTCTATTGCCACTCCTTACACATACTATCCTGTACTTAAGCCTGGCCCAAGCTGGTATCTAACCACCTGAACTATAGCTTGTCTGCAGATTCTGGACTTGCCTCTGGCTGTTCATGGCATGAAGACACACTGCAAACATGGGGTTGAGGTTGACAAATGGCCTGTGCCACCATAGATCCATTCTCAGGTTGAGGGAAGAAGTCTGATGCTTGTGTATGTGGAGATGCCTGCAAAGGATGGATTACATATAGTTACATTCAACAGAAGGAAAACTGGAGAACGTTTTGAGAAAAAAGAAGAAACAATCCTTGTCGGTGGTTCATAAACTTTCCTTGTCCTTAACCATTTTATGAAGAGACATTAATTCTCAGTCCCCAGTTTCTGGTAAGCAGAAAAAGTTTACAACACTCTGGAGTATTCAGAGTTTCGAAAGGCATTTCTTGTGATCTTTGCATCCCTCATTGACCTTAAGTTCGTTTATTGCATGTATATGCAAAGGCATAAATTATTTTTTTTAGTTTAAGGTCTTTTGTATTTGTATATTATATTTGTATTTGAAGAATGCCATCTTCTGGGATGTGATGCCTTGTAGATCTTGTGTGAACCAACATTTTGGAGGAACATATTGCCTCCATCTTCAGGGTACAAAGCCACCTGCTCACACTGGTTCCTCACTAACAGATTTTTCTACTGTAAAGATGGAGGTGATACGTTCCTCTGAAACGTCGGTTCACACAAGGTCTACATGGCACCACATGCCAGAAGACGGCATTTTTAATAGTCACCCCCATGAAAACCTCAGATCTTACATGTTTATATTTTCTGAAATACTGGAAGAAAAAAGGAATTATACATGGAACATACAGACATTGAAAGAAATCTGATAGAATTTTATTTGAGGTTTGTGTAAATATAATGATATAGGTAACTTCCAATGTAGATGCCTCTTATAGCAAATTGCATTGAATTCCATGAAGTATTTTTTTTTCAGACAGACGGGCAATTGGAATGCTTGTGTTTTGTTCATGTCAGACACTTACCCTATCTTGCATTTCCATCTGAGGAGTACCATATTTCTGTGACTTTTTCTGGGGAAGGTAACAGGAAGTTCCAATCATAGCTGGCTCAGAGGAAATTGGCTTCTCTCTTTCCACCTGTTTTTTTTCACCAGTACAAGGATCAAGTTCCTGAATGCACAGAATTGAACAGTGAAGGAAATGGAAACAGGTCCAAATGCAGGCCTTCTTCCTGGGAGTATACAAGTACACTAATATGTCACCTCCACCTCATAATTTTGTGTGCCCAACATGTTATCAGTTGTACAAAATTTAAAGATATCAGGTTGGGATGACCACCACTGGCACACTCATAACAAATACCATGATAATCAGTCAGTTAGTTATAAGCTGTAGGGATGGACACACACAAGCAACATGTTATCTCATAAGTCAACTTTATGGTTCATTCACAGTGAAGTTATAAAAATGTGTCTCTGTCCTTCTGCCTGCATATAACAGCTTGAGAACCCCAGAACTTAGTTTCATTAAATTCGTTATTGAAGGGATTTGATATGTCAATAAAGTCCAAATTTGCTTAAGGAAAATGTGTCAGGCATGTATGAACAGCGAGATGATTCTAGTGTGTTCACTTCATTATTTTCCTTAGCATGAGATCCACTATTAGTAAACTTTGGGCCAAAGGCCCCCTTAGAAAAAAAAAAACCCACACACACACACACACACACACAATGCATGTAAAGTCAACAATTCAAAAAGTTTATTGTTTGTTGTTCTACCTAAAGTGTGCTTGAAGTTGAACAATGAAAGCCAGAATTATCACTCTTGTCAGCAGAATGGTCTTTGATCTTTTTAAACATGTCTTGCAAAGCTAATCATTTCATGCATTTAAGAAAGGAAAAACTTTCTGGATTTCAGGTCCTTCCTGATTTTGGGATTTTGAATATGGGTCCCATGCTCTACTTTGAATTCATGAATATTAACTTTTTGTGCTGTCTTATGAGTAACATTGAGGAGTTTGGGAAGAGAAACTAGGACCTCAAATATAACATTTCAACAAAATGAGCCCAGAATTTGACATGGTACATATAAGAATCAGTTTGTATAACTTATCTATAAAATCGCAATACAGAAACAGTGTATTGTGCATAAAATGTTTGTTGTGCTTTTATCTACAACTTTTGTTCAAAACATTTTTCACTCTGGTAAATATTTAGCGAGTTAAGCTCAAGATGTGTGCAAAAATGCTTATGGGTGTTAACATCAAGTTTATATTACTACTGAGGAAAACTAAGCTATCCCAGCTCTTAAGAATAATAAACAGTCAAGTAAGTGTTCACCACATAAAGGTAGGCTTTATTCAAGTATAATTAGAGTAGTATCTCATTTCTAATTACTGCCAATTCAAACGTGCTTTGTGATTGAGTTAATTGTTCTACTGGAGAGCTGAGTGACCATTTCAATGCATGAAAGGAAGGCCAGGACCTACCAAGACATTATCATCAGAGAATATCTTATACCACCCAAACCAACACCCTATCATAAATTCTCCTTCCCCAGCCTTGTTGTCCCACATACCTGACACATCATAGAGGAACAGAGCTTGGCATCGTTGCCAACTACAGTAGTTGCATGATCAGTTACAATACTAAAGCCATATTTTTACCTGTTTCATGATCAGGAAAGGTTTGTTAAACATGCAAAATACAACAACTATTTCAATTAATTATAAAACTGGATGTCCTTAAAGTACCGAATTTCTTGCATTTTCAACGAATTAATTAACGGCTCATTGTCAAGGCTCTGTCAACCTTTTGATCACATATTCTCATTCTAGGAACAACATATTTACCCTGCATCCCAAGTATACAGATTTTCTACATATGTGATATAATTGTGCAGTGTTTCTTTCCTGTCTGGATCAATGTGTGACATGTTTTCCTTTTGTGATGTTTTTTCTCTACATGAAGTTCTTGCTCTTTTCCCAGAACTTGTCTAATACACGACCAAAGCTCATGTGTGAGAGTTGGCAGTTTTGCACTTGAATCTCCATGTGGGGGGTCAGTAGTTTCTTTGCCAGTTTCTTTATGATCTTGTATAAATTATATATAATAAGAAGAAACCTAATTTTAGACTGGCCAAGAAACTTTTCCTACAACAATCTGAGTCTGTTCTTCCCATAAAAATTACTCTCAACCTAATGTGAACATGACTATCAGAACTGGGGCTGTCATTAATATATTCCTCTTCACCATCACTTTCAATGTGCCCATAATCACTGTCGCCTATTTTAGAAACTGAACCATGATTGCTAAGAACTGCACAATATTCATCAGACACGCTTTCATCTTCATGCTCCAGCCATACTAAAATACATAATTCTGATTGCTATAGATCATTGTATGTAAGATTCCTGGAATATGGCCCTTAACAACGGTAAGCAGGTCAGGTCTGCTAGACTGCTTGTGTAAATCAAGACTGAATAATTTGCCTACAAGGACAGATTACTTCAGCTGAATTTATGTGTGGGTTGACTGTGAGGCAAAAAACAATTGCAATGACACAGATACTGACTGAACTGATAACAAAATACAATCTGTTTGACTCACCATTGCAATCTCACAGACTGGACTCAGATACTTATGGGTTAATGGTACAACCAGTCAGTTAACTGTTCAATACAGTTTTATTAGAATATATGCAATAGTACACACTCCTTTATAAGAGCTAGATATTGATCCGTCCTCCATTTTTCAATTTGGATGTTAAACTGAACTCATTTTAGCCTCTTTTCAGTATAATCACTGAATTGAAAACTAGCATGCAGTTGTTACCTCCATGTAACCGCCAAATATAGGTCCGTTTAGTTGTGTTTATTGTTCTGATTAGTATTAAAATGTAGCCATGCTTATTCAGTAAATTACAGCCATGCAGGATTTATAATTGTAAGTCTTCTTTATTTATCTTCAGGTTACCATGGTAATGTGAATCACAGCTACTTATTGAATGCAAGTATATATTGTATCACCATGGAAACAAAATTTTATGAAGGGAAGAATGGCTAAGGAACATGTGATAAATACAAAAGTGATAAGCATACTTCTTCTCCCAAAGCCATGTAAATTAATAAAATATAACTCTGTAGTCAAGGGAGAGATTTACTGTTCTAATACTCTTTATATCGAAATGGCTAGAAACGAAAATATGTATTTACAAGCAAATGTAGTTGAAAGTAAGACTACAGCATAATGCAACTATGAAATCTGAATGATTTTCCACCAGATTATTACTTTAGTACTTTTCTTTTCAAAAGTATTACAGTCAAGTTAAGCATTATTTTTTTTATGTAAGGTTATGGGGTTTGGAGAAAATGAACAGCTGGAATGATTTATTAAAAGAGACAAACTGGAGCTGTAACTGAGGTGCCATAATACATTTAATTTAATGAATCATGTTTGGATTGTAAGGATAGAATTCTTAGGAAACAAGGACATTCTGTGCAAGTGAAAAAATATAAGCTCACGTTAAAAGCAAAACTAATTCTCTATTCAAATAGTTTAATTCAGAACTTTGCTACATCCTGAAACATTAGGTCTGGGAAAAAGTAATGGCTCAGATGCTGGGAGTCCATAAATGTCTTGTATGCTGATCTGAAAAGAGATCGTAATGAATAATCGTGTATTTGTGTAGAACATGGGGGAAGGACCTTAATGACCAATGACCAACTGTTGGAAGACGGTTGTTCCTGTTCGCTCATCCTTATTGCTTTACTACTCTCGAACAATTGGCGCCACCTGCGATAGGCTAATGCATAATGTGCATAAACACCAACGCCATCGTCGGCAAACACCATCCGTGGAAGGCCCCTAATGCGTTCACGCAGTCATTTGTCCAGTAAATCTAATGCACGGATAACAAAATCTAATCATCGTGGTTATAACGTAATCTGTGATTATCACGTGACCGTGCTGAATAGGTATGAGAAGTTGATTCTGTGATCGCAGTTCAAGTGGGGGGAAAATTGACGTCGTGCTTTTGTTTGCAGTATTTCGTGTTGTATACCTTGTATACAGCACTTCGTATTGGAAGTCTTGGAACGTGGGAGGATACACGCCAGATTGTTAACTTTTCGCTTGCCTGGAAAGTCTAGTACAACATCTGTAGCCAATATCGGTTCCAGTACAAGTTACATTCATGTCCAACGTATAAGAATCTAATGCGTCTGTTGTTTTTTTAGAATTGTAATGTAAAGTACTAAGACATGGCAAGAATTCAGAAGGTTTGTGTCAATAATACAAACTAGTAATATCATCTCCTGTGTAATTTCGTTCTTTTGGATGTTCGTGTATTTTAACAGGCATACACGTTCTAACATGTTTTGTTTATATATATATATATAACCTGACGTAAAAAGTTTGGCTTCCGGATACATATCGGTGGGTCTGAAACCACGACTACGACGGCCTGATGACAGAAATTTACTACATATTCGCCTAGATCTCAGAGGCGGTAGGCATTTATTTGAAACAGTGCAGGTTCATAAATTGGCTGATAACATCATTCAAATAAGTTTGTTTCTTAAGTTCTTTAACGTATAGAAGAATACAAAGTTAGCACCTACCTACTGTTATTTACTTGTCATAATATCGTTAATCGACTGCAGCAGTTCAACTTTCTAATACAGAAGTTCAAACACTGGACTCCATCCTGAACCCTAACTATTATTACTGCCTGTTTCCTAAGATCCATATTAGTCGTATCTTCCCCATAGCTCTTTGTTAGTTGCCTCATCCAAAAGATTTACAGACTGAAATATTTATACGGTTCTCATTCCACTCAAAATTTCATACCTGACCTTTGACAATGAAACCTGGAGAGAAGAAAAATGGTATTAAGTTAGTTATATAACATTGTCAGAATTGAGACTATATAGCATCTATATTTAAGTATTTAAATAATAAATTTTTGCCAAATAGAAACTAATGCTACTGCTGCTGCTATACTAATAATGATAAGAACAACAACCTGTTTATAAATACATGCAGTGAAATAATTCTGACTTAAATAGGATGAAATCATAGGACTATCTACAAACAAATCCAACATGCCAGCACTTAAGCTAAATAGCATTTTACAGCATTGTAATATATAAAATTATAACCTATAAATTAAGTACCGGGTCGGTCACGGTAGCCGAGCGGTCTAAGGCATGCACTGTCTTCGCTTGCTCGGAAGCTTGGATCGTGGGTTCGAATCCCACTCAGGGGATGGATATTTGTATGTGTCTTTCTGTGTTTGTGCACAGTTAGAGGCCTTGTGACGAGCTGATCACCCACCCAAGGAGTCCTACCAAATGTGTAAGATCTAGAAAAACCGAGTGAAACGGAGAGGTTCATGGAGGTAGGCCTAGTTCCACTGGGGCTGTAGTGCCAATGAAAAAAGAAAAAGTAAGTACTGTGCCCTGGAGACATGACAGAGTGGAGGTTAGCTGTGCCATTCTTTATCTTGACACTAGATGGAGATGAGTGGTAAACTACATGCCTTGGCCACTTAACCCCCCCCCCCCCAAAAAAAAAAA